TATTTCTTCGATTTATTTATTGATCAATTGATTTAATTCACTTCAACTTCATAGCGAGGTGTTGCAACAAATACGCAAGCCGGCGTCTCACAAGGGGGCATTCTTGTTCCTTCTTGTAAATGTATACGGACAATCCTGTACATCCCGATACCACTTAGTGATGATTCCGCAATTTTGTCTTCTTACCTGAATTTTATGCTAACTTCCAACATACAAGAACACCTTTCGCTTATCAATGACTGGTGCAAAAAGGCGAAAACAAGTCTATGAGAAGTACAGTTTTATTTACTTTGAAACAAAACTTGCCCTCCACTGTATATCATCAGCCAGCAGCTACTGACTTCAAATCGAGTCAGATAGGTCAGTTAGGTCTATATATAGACAGCGGATTGACAATCCTCACAAAAGGCGAGGTAACAGCTTAACTGACGACTTAATAAAATGACAAACTAATCCAATCTTATAAAAGTTCCACTCCAAACTGTCCTAGAGAATTATCCTGATTATTCATTGAAATTAATTTTGAAGTATCATTGGTTATCCAGGGTATTTATTGCAAAACCATTTTATTGGGTGTATATTTTTTATTGTAAATTTTGTATCCACCTGATCATCACTTCTTTCATACCGAAAGGTAGTGATAAATCGGAAAGGAGTAATGTAAATCGTACAAGGCTTTGTTTTCAAAGTGCTTATTTGCTCGATGGTGTATACAGCGATATGTGTAAAGATGAACTTTATCTAAAGTTGGAACAAAAGGGAGGCATGATTGGTGAGAGGCAGGCTTTGCCTCATTAGTTATGTTGATTAGAGCGAGTGGTGCTCGGTGCTCAAGGGGGTGAGATAAGGGTTTTTGCCCCTTGACTTATCGGTCCGAGGGCTGTCCGGGCAATTTACTCGCGGTCTCCGACTGGACAGTGTTACTAATACCGGCCCGTTAATCAACCAATTGTCCACCGCAGTCAGCCGCCCTCTGAATTATGATTAAGGGGAGCCCAAAAACAAAGGGGTCTAAGGAATATGTCAGGGTCCTTAGTCATGCGGGGCTACTGCTCCAGGGAGTTTTTAAGACGGTTTTTGCCACGTCCCGTTTAATTATTCAGAATAGCCGAGGATCTGAGCCTGACACTACCATTTATAACTCTATTCTTTTACTTGACTCCCTTTAATGATACTTTTGTCACAGGAATTCATCGCCCTTTATAAACTCCCTGCTCTTTTATTGTTATTCCATTATCATCAATCCTTAATATAATCCTGAAAAATGGTCCTGCAAACTAAATTTTTATGTCAAAATACATTATTGAGAATTCTTGAAAGTATTTAATAACAACGTTTGACAAAACAAAAGAATATGTTCTTTTTTCGAATTTATGTAAAATGCTATTAAATTTCAATTTACACTTAAATCAGCGGTACAGCCAATAAATCGATATTGCAGATGACAGTTATTACAAAGAGAATGGTTAATTCCAGATTTTTTTTTCCATAAACCAACAATGTTAAAAATTCACTAATTTCGTGGTCTGCTTGACCAATTAATGTATTACAATTAAATAAGGTTTTTAATTGAGATAAAAAAGACAGTGGCACGAGCGGGATTCGAACCCACGATCTTCGGCTTGATACGCCGAAGATGGGAAGTTGGTGTCCGAGTGGATCGAGGTCACGATAGCTCAAGTGGTAGAGTAGCGGCGTATCTAGCCGAAGATCATGGGTTCGAATCCCGCTCGTGCCATTGACTTTTTTATCTCAACTAAAAACTTAATTAATTGTAATGTTAAAAATCTTAACATGCTAAGATTAATTTCTTTTCTCGGCCACCGTGATATTCTCTCTTATCATGCTATCTTCTAGTTTTTTGCTAATTTTTAAAATAGAGTTTGGAGGTTGATGCAGATTTATGACAGTCCTTTCCTCCGCTTTGACCTAAGCAGTAGATTATTGAACCCCTTAACTTATGTCATACCTTGGAAAGTGCGGCTTTGTCTTATAAAGCTAAGCACTTTCCTTGGTGCCTCTTCGCGGACCCCCTTTGATGAAAGTGAGGCCTTTCTTAATTGCCTAACGAAGTGGCTATGCCGTAACCGGGATAATGCTTCACATTCACAAAGAATGCTGATGTCTCTGATTCTTCCTGTCAGAGTCAGCATATTTCTGTCTCAACTTTACTTAACTTGGACCACTAGCCGGTATAGAGGCCTCTAATGGTCCGCAAAACTTGCCTACTGAGAGAGAGGAGTTCCTCCGTCTTCCTTTTTGAGAGATCTATGAATCGCTTACCTCATACCTTGTGCGTTTATCCAATTTTTAAGTTTTTCTTTCTCAAGCCATTTTTCTAGTTCCAACTTATGCCCACACTCCGTTGCACCTAGTTGTGGTTCTGGGCCCATGGATGAGAGGTCTGCCCATTTTTTTGGCTGTTGGTCAGCCTGTTCCTGTCTGAGAGCTCACTTTAAGGTAATTTGATTCTGGTTTCCCATAGTCATTAGCTAGTTTATGCCCTCTCGAGTTCAAACCATACACATTTAGTGCGTTTATGGTTGCATGACTGTCTGAGAGCATATATATGAAGATACTTCACTGCTGTCCGTATTTTAGTAGAGGCAGCATTGGAGTAAAGGGAAAAGTATAACCTCCCTACGGCCTGACCGTCCCTCGACTTTTCCCAAAGGTCAAATTGAGGAAGTGTACTCCGAGTGAACTAAATTTATTTAGTGTTTATTCTGAGTATTGAATTAAATGCTACAAAAACGGATTTTGTTTTAGGTAAATATATGAACAATTATAAATCATGTAATTTATTAAGAAATTTTGTTTTAATATATCTATGCACTTTTTATATTTTTTTTTTGGAAATTGATCAGCCTTCTCAGTTTAAATATTTTTCTTTCCAAAAGGTCGATTGGGGATGAGGCAAGAAAATAAATGTTGTTTCTGTCTTCCTGGCCTCATCCCCTATCTACCTTTTGGAAAGAAAAATATTTTATATTTTTTATATAAATATACTTTAAATCTCTTCTAACAACACTTCAGTTTGGAAAATCGTTGGGGTTGGTCCAAGGGGTTTCGCTACGATGTAATTCCACCCTTTCATCCCTACGTCCACTCCCCGTTCTTTCTTCGATCCAAGAAGCGCGTGTAAGTTCAAATTGTAAAATGTTCGTTTCTCGTTGAGTGTAAGATAAGTCAAATTGGCCTAACTCTGCTAGATTTGTAAAAATAAATCGTTTATAAATCATCTCTCTCTCCCTCTCCCTCTCTCCCTCTTCCTCTCTCTCTCTCTCTCTCTCTCTCTCTCTCCCTCTCCCTCTCTCCCTCTTCCTCTCGTGCCTTCCTTTTTCTNCCCCTCCCTCACCATCACCCCTCCCTCACCATCACCCCTCCCTCACCATCACCCCTCCCTCACCATCACCCCTCCCTCACCATCATCTCTCCCTCCCTCTCTCTCGCTCCCTCTCTCTCCCTCCTTCCCTATCTACCTACCTACCTACCTACCTCCCTACACCCTACCTATCTACCTACCTATCTATCTTTTTTTTCTAACCTTGGACTCCTAAGGCTAGATAATTTATTTAATACCTGATCCCATAGTGATTTCAGGTATTCATGTCCATATACAAATATTATTTATAATTAGTTTAATACAATTTTACTAACAAAATTATTTAAGGCTTCAGTTGGTCTCTAATCAAAGTGTGATGGTCTGGTGGCCATTGTCCACCTTTACATACAACGTCCCTTATTAGAGATTTTCGGCATGGTTCTTTAATGAGGCTGTCTAATAACATGTAGTCCCATGTTTGTTGAGTTCTCTCTGGACAGTCGCATTCCGAATCCTGTGTTCTGTGGAATCTACAGAGATATTTTCGAGTTTGTCCATGGCCACTTATAAGTTGGGTAAGCATATGATGGTGTTTCAGTTCTACTGCCATCCTCTATTCTTCCGTTGAGAAGAACTTTTAACTTTGAAGACCTTTAGTAATACGCCTCCAACGTTCTTCCCATTGGGCCAATGTCATTTTCGAGGCCATGTAGATGACGTAGCTTTTCGGCACTACTGAGACTGTTTTTTCGAGTTCAGCGTTTTCTGTGGCGTCCTCTGCTGCTGCGTCGGCTTCCTAATTACCTTGGATCCCTGTGTGTGCTGGTACCTTTTCAATACTGATCTTCCAGCCATTATCACTCAATGATTTTATCATATTTCTGATGTCGGATACCATCAGGCTTCGTGCTTTGTAATTTTTAATCTTATCAATGGATATGCGGCTGTCTGTCATCACTATCGCGTTTTTGTTCACTTACCTACCATCCTGCTGTACGAGCCATTGAAGAACCTTCAGGATAGCAACAAGTTCAGCGTGGTTGTTCGAGCACCAGATAGCGAGTCCAATTTGTTTTGTTTCTTGCAGGGTGTTGTCTTTTCCATAGATGTCTAGGGCTGCTCCAACGTAATTATTCATTTTGCTCCCATCGGTGTATATTACTATCTCGACTTACAGTGATATTGACTCTGTTAGTCCTTGAGTTCTACAAGCCGGATGGTGCCATTCATTTCAACGCAGTGTGGGTTCCACGATAAGTGCAGGGAGGGCTTTGTTGTTGAATGCTCTTTTTATGGTAAAGTAGATATCGGTTAGTTCCTTTAGTTTATGTTCAATCGGGGCTACCCGTGCCATGATACAAACTGATTCATACGAAATTGTCCTATCTAGCTATCTTTCTACCAACCTACCCTCCTACGTACCTATCTATCTATCTATCTAGCTATCTCTCTCCCCCTCCCCCTTTCTCTTGTGTTGGCAGAAGTCGTTGATTTAAACATACACGATGATGATAGAGCGTACCCGTAAACCCTCTTTTATGACTAAAATACTTTAATCGATACATATAAAATTCGACTAGGCCGACGAGCAAATTCTATCAAACTCATATTAAATATTGTCCAGTGTTAACGCTTAATTTAACGTGTTTCGATTAGCATTCCTTCTCTGTTTTAGATTCTGCATTCCTTGGGCGTGGCACCTTTTGACCAACACCTTTCTACTGAAAACGGCCGCGACCTCACAGATTCTGCGGCAACTTTATCATCGCTGGGTATATTTCCAAGGAGCATTCTATTCCTTAAGGTAAGGCGTTTTACTGATAATGAACCATGTCATAACATGTTTTCTAATCTAATTGGCAGTATGTAACTCCAGGTAAAAAAATTAGGCGCATGCTCGAGTTTCAAATATTTTAATTGGGTTCGTTCTGATCTGTCACCTGCTTTATTAAATTACATTAATATTTTTCATGACATGAATTATGTATTAGCAATTTGCCATATTCTTCTTCTTTTTTTTATTGCTAATTATTTCAATAATGTTAAAGTTGATCAGTTGGCACTGGTTTTAAATTACAGATTGCTGCAATTACAACCAAATTTTTTTTATATATTTCGCTTTACTTTTGCACTTCTTTGCCCTGAAACTACAAAAACAGGTGCTTCTTTTTTCAATTGTGTTAATATCGTGTAAACAATTTTAATTTACAATGAAAGTAAACTTGCCACTAGTGTCATGGTGTACAGCATTTCATGTTAAGTTTAAGTAAAAAACATCTCGTTTAGAAATGTGTGGTGATTGGTGACCGTTAGTCTATGATTATTCGGAAATCGTGAGATGCGGTCTGCAGTGAGATGTAGGTTTCAGAAAAACATTTTCTTTATCGTGCTAACCTTTCGATCTTTATTGAGCCGTGAAGATGATCTCAATAAAGATCGAAACGTTGGCACGATAAAGAAAATGTTTTTCTGAAACCTACATCACACCCGACCGCATCTCACGATATCTGAATAACTATCGATTAACGGTCACTAATCTCTACACAGGAAAATAATTAGGTTGTTTGTTTGTAGAGCAAGTTGGCTTTGAATAAGTAGGTAAAGGTTTTCTTAAGTTTTAGAAAAGAAATCGAATTGGTGTGAAACCTCTTGCTTATGGACAGTCGTGATACTACTTTTGTCCTAATTCGGAAGTTTAATCTAAAGATTTATCATCTGATAACATATAACTGTCTTATATAAAAAAATATATATGTATATTAGGAGTGGATAGATTAAATGTACATTTCCAATCACTTTACGATCCATTAAAATTTTCCATTTGCTTAATTTATCAGATACGAGGTCTGACTGACAAAACCTGCTGCAGATGGTTAGAATCAAGCGAAAAAGCAAAAGTGTGATTTTGTAAAAGATGGTTCTATTCAGAAATTTGTTGTTACAACTATCCAGATTTCAAGCTTATATCTCATCATCAGGTTGCAAGGAGTTACAAGGCCGCCTCTAAACATGAATTGACAATTTTTAATCGGTTTGACTTTTCATTCAATTTTTCTGTCATGACTAACTGTATAATGATGATGGTGTAGTGTTCTTCAGTTAAGCTATATCGGATGGTCAAATAGTTCAGCATGCTTCTAGAACGATTCTTTCTTCTATCTGTTTTATTTCCGTGATTTCTTATTTCCATTCCTCAGATTTTCTGTTACTTACTTACACTGTTAAGTTACTTGCAGGTTGAATCTTTAACTTGGTTTGTCGTATTTTAAAGTATTAACACCGGTTGTAATTATTCGATCTTTAGATACTTTCAGGGAATTAATATTACAATTATATCTGAAGATTCTTATTTTTTATGCTTTTCGTCGGTGGAGTTCTTTTTCGCTCTGTTAATTGGTTCTTTCCATTGTTTGTCAAATAAGCAGAATCTTTCTTAAATAATGCTGAATAGGCTGATTTTGCTATAAAACTGCAATGAAACATCAATTCCGTTGCATCCTGTTGTATTAAACCATGTGGTACGCTTTTCTCCTTGCGTCTAATACGATGTAGGGCACGTATCCTCTTCCCATCTGGTGCCTCGTCCTAATAAATGTTTCATCACGACTAAACAACCCGCGTTTTTCCTCCCCTTTCTTTTCAGGCTGCCTTTATTGTTTTTTATTCGGCAATTTATCTCATAACGGGCGGATTTCCTAGACGGAGGAACAATTTCCCGCGGATCCGGAGGAGCATCGCGTCTCTGAAAGGTCCCACATCGCGCGTTGATAGAAGTTAGATCAGAAAGCCCGGACGTTTTTTCTCCACGTTCTCTCCCCTCGAATTTTATATAAAGAACCTGTGGAAACGTCGAGGATGACATAAATGGAACGAGGTGGGAAATTTTTATGACTGACTGATTCACAACACACGTTGCCCTCCCGCGAGTACGGGAAGAATCGAAGAATACGTCGCCGGTTACCATGTCTAATCTTTTGACAAGAATAGGTTCTCCACTACACACCTATTACAGATTTCAACGAGCTCTTCTCAATCCTTTGTACCTCTCACTACCATTAACCTCTTCCATTCATGGACACGAAACTGGCCATTCTTTCATGCGGTCCGAATATTGGCCATCTGTCTCGAACGTGAATTTCCTTGGGCCATTTTGGCCAGTTTAATATAGGTCGGAAAAAGTCTACGGCAATCCCATTCAAAAAGTCTGGAATTACACCCACCATGAAAAATCCGCTTATATAAATACATATAACTTTGGGACGAAAGCCCAATCTGTCAATGTTCATCGACAAGTCGAGATATCGAGTTCATGGATATTCTGAGGCAAACTGCAAGGTTTCTCCTAAAGCCAGAGGTCGAATTATGCAACAATATAATGTTTTTTATTAAAGTCAGAGGGTCGGACCTGGCTCGAGGACAAAAACCGAAGACATTAGGCTCCCGGGGGACGGGATGAACCGCATTAATGGGACTAAATCATGCATACGCAACGTAATTACTGCGAGATAGCCGTTGCAATTAGTGTAGGACCTCGGAGTTGCTCACGACAATATATTTGGCCAGGAACTAGGAACAATTCTATTATCGTTAGCCGGGAAATCCAACTCTATCCCTACTCGATATGAAATAAATTTAACATTTATAGTGATTAAATTTTATCAATTTAATTATGTAATTTTTCATCCTTATCCGCATATTTTGTCACAGCAAGTTAAAATCAGTAAAAATAATGTACCACAATCCAGTATTTACGGTTCTGGGTATAAAACGACATATTTTCCATAAAGCAAGTAAATATAGGTTTGCCGTTAAGTTATTTATTCAATTATTGTGTACCAACTTTTACCCGCCTCTCCGTCTACGCGGGACTCGGTTTTTAATGTACCTTTCAACGGGATGCAGAGTGCTTGTATGGCATTTTAATATAATGGCTTATTTCTCAAATTCTTCATTTTACATCGGTCTATACACGGGAAAAATTGTCAGTATGATCCGCTTTGGGATGGAATTGCAAAATATCCTTTCTTAGCCGATATTCATATCATTATAGGAATCCACTGTCGAAATTTCAACCCTTTAGATCCAGCGGTTTTATCTGTGCGTTGTCTGTTAGTCAATCAAGGAATTGTTGTCGATGTAGATGTATTAGTCGGGGTGTAAACAAACTACGCCCTTTAAGAGCTATCGTACCACCCCCGTTTTGTGCCTGTAGCACCGTTGAGTCCTATTTCAAGGAACTTGATTAGTAGACCCGGTTTCAGTGCTTGAATTTCTTCTACGGTCACATTGTACATCCCAAAACACTTCCTCCTACTGGCAAGTGTAGCAAATGTTGGTGTCTCCTGGCAGAATCATGTAATCCTGTTAGGATTCGCATTTTTTCCTGCTTCCTTCGATACATTCTGTCACTTCTTTCCTTTCGAAATTTGTTAAGAGCATCTTGGATTGTGTCCTATGTGTAATTCCATTGTTCTCTCATTTTCTTTTTACCCTTCTGTCTGATAGTGTGGGTTCCTATGCCACAGAATGGCTCTGGTTCTATCAGCAGTGTAGCAGCCCCTTTTCTTGCTAGGGTGTACGCTTTGTCGTTCCTTTTTATTCCCATATGTCCTAACAGAGGCTGACTTTGTTCTGCGTACCTAATAAGTTTAATTGGTTTTGTAATTCAACTCTATCTTTGAACTAATGATATTCGAGCTTAGTGCTTTGATTACTGCTTGGCTATCTAACATGATAGCTATGGTTTTTTTACGCTTTATATAAGTTGAATTGAGTACATCTCTCGATTGCGAGGACTTCAGCTTGGAAGAAATACTCAGATTTGGTGTATTTTCCCCTGGGTTCTGAGTATTTGGTTCCAGGACCGAATACCTCCCACCCCTGTACTTTCTTGTGTTCTAGATCCATTCTGTGTACGAAAAGATGGGGCCGTTCTTAAAGGAGGTGTTTTCCTCTCGTTCCCATTCATTGGTCGATGCCTAGGATTATTTGCAGTTTCAAGGAACTGTTTTATATATAACTAAGTTTTATATATAACTAACATATAACTAAGTTGCTAAAACTTAGTTAATTTTATGATGAAGTTGAGACATTTGAGTTGTTAACTGCAAAGCTTCATTCCTTAATACAATATATTGTGACGTTACTTCTTTCTTTAACCTTAAAGTTGAGAGCTTGATCGTCTCCGGCCATCCTGGTCAGCACGGTCTCGCTGGTTTTGCCTATCCGACGCTCTCTGACATTTTATCTTGAGCTTATTATTTCTATAAAAAATATAGTCAGTGCAGTAACAACCTATAGGTACACCATCTTGTCGACATGATTACAAGGATACACTTTCAACTTTTAATTTTAAATTTTAATAAATAGATTGGTCGGCGGCTGAAATTGCTCGTTTAAGTGCAAATTCGCACATTTTTGTCGGTTCAGTTTGGATTGATAAATGGTCGGTTAACTAGGGATTAGTAAGAAGTTTCGTTTTTATAAAGTTTGACTAACCAATCACCTTTGCCATAGCGACACTATATTAAAAACAAAAAATTCTCCTTTGTCTCATTACAAAACAGAAGAAAAGTCTTGTTCTCCCAAAATCCCCCCCCCCCCCGAGTAACACTAATCTTTTCAACTCAACTACACTTTACATAAAATTATACATCACTGAATAATTGATCTGGTTGGGCAACAATAAAAATAATATGAAAAAATAGACAAAAACGAAAAAAAAATCCAATATTTTAAATTTTGGTGCACTCTTCAAATAATATTACAACTGAAAACTTTCTTAATGTAAAATTACAATTATAC